TTTATTAAGGTTGTTCATTAATCAGTGTTGGGAGGTACACATGAGAGGCAGTTCGATAAAGATTAACCTTTGCTATTCTGTGCTTTCTGATAATTTAAATATAGATGATAAAATATTGAGAATAATATTCAGGTTTGTAGGAAGGATGCATTTAAGGCATCACCTGCTTTGTACACCATATTATTGTAGTGCTGGTTGTAAAATAATTTGCCTGAAATTATCTTTGGATTGTTACATCTGGGTCATACTGCCTGTAATTAGGGCTGGCTAGAAAACATCAATTTGGTTTTGTGAGAAAAATTTGAGGTTTTGAAAATTGTTTTCATTCTAATACAGAATGAAGCAGAGACCTTTCAAAATGTTTAGTTCCATCCTGGCATTGTTTTTGACAGGAAAAAAATTTGTAAACATTTTTTCAACCTGCTCTAGCTGTGATGCATGCTATCAGCAGAGGTGAATTTGTAGTCCAAAGGTAAAGACTTTTGCCTCACAGCACAAATATTAGGTCTGCTCCTTGAGTGCTGGAAGTGGAAGTGTTTATTGACACAAAAATCACTCTCACCCTCTAAACACTACTACTGTGAAACGCTTTTTATGTATATATCTTCCAATGTATCATAATCAGAACTTCCATTTTCTTAGTTCTTGATATTTATTACTTTCAGACTGCTGGAAAATAAGCTTTAGACTATAGAATTATTTCTGTGCAGTGTTTCCCGCCCATAATTAGGTAGAGGGTACCAGCAGATCCCAGAAAGAGCTCGTGGTGATGACTGTGATTGTAATGTACCTTTATTTGCCTACGAAAGCTATGGTGTCTGGGTAGGAAATTTCCAAGTAGTATAACTATCATTAACTAATGTTACTGTCCCAAACAAATACAAGTATGGGAGTGAATAACTTTTTTCAGTGAAGCCTTTGAAATAAAGCTAAGGCCAAATCCAATAGCAGAGTTACCTTCTGTGCAAACCTTTTTTTGTGTGTGTGTGACTTATATTGATGGATGGTGCACCTGAGACATCCTTGACTCCTTGTTTTATCTTCATGTTATATAACCTGCAAGATTTACAAACTCAACAGTTCATTTACTCACAGCTTGGTTCTCGGGAAGGCAGAGATCCACTGAAATGATGACTGAGAAATTTTGTCAAGTCCTCTTCGCTACTTGAAAGGAGCCAGCCCTCAGTATAGAGGTTTATAATTTCAAATGGAAGTAATATGACAAATCAATTAGGTCGTTTTCCTTGTCTCTGAAAATCAGCTTGCTTACCTTCACTATTGATCAGTCTCAGCTCCAGGCAACCCACTCAAAACTGATGTAACTGCAATTTTAGATTTCCACGTGCTTTGCAGATACTACATTGATCTGTGATCATTCTCTAGTAGTAGGATTTAAAAGAGACATGAAACTTGCAATCTCTAATTAAGGGCTTTTGTAATGGTACTGATTGATGCACCCAGAGGCTTCACAAAGACAAGTTAGCAGCAGCGGTGCTACTTTATTGAGGACCTTAGGCAGGAATATTCCCCTCCCCCAAACGCATACTAATAATTAATAGGGGGCCCCCTTGAGCTGCTCGGGGCCCTAAAGCAATTGCTTAGTTGGCTTATGCCTAGCGCCGGCTCTGGAAGTTAGTACAGTTACTTCTCCATAGCGCCTGCCAACTGTGTGTCAGAATCCTGCTTTTACTCATTTCATTAAAAGCAGTATTCCACAAACTGGTTATTTATTTATTTTTAAAAGATGCCTATTTTGAGTCTGAGGTAAATGAAGTCCCTCACAATTTAATCTTATTGAATTGCTTATGAATACATTACAGCAGCTAGTGTTCAAGGAGCCATTTGTTTTGTTCCTTATTAGGAGTTAAACATATTAAAGCATACTTAGTCAGACCTATGACAGTATGTATAACCTCCTCCATAACAGATCTGAAAGGCTGCACCATGTGATAGATTTTCCAAAAATCTACAATGTATTACCTCAAAACAGCTTCACAGGAAAATTAAAGTTTGGATTAATATTTATAAGACTATTTCTTAGCAACATTTCTAATACTTTTCTTATTTAGCTGATGGCAAGATATTCTTCTGTGTCCCATATCCCCATTTTTTCATTGCCATAATCTTTAGTGAATGTAGTTTAGGATCATGTATCTTGAAAAACTCATAGCAGACTATTAGGTTAAATACTTACAATTCATTACCTGCCATGTAGGAGTGTTGTCCGACTTCATATTACATAAACTGCTTTCAGATACAATGAAAGATTCTGTCAATGTGCTATATTATTAACATTTGATATGCATGTATACATTTTCTTGTCTGCTAGGTAACACAAAATCGTATTAATTTATTAATTAATATTTATAATTATTATTTATTATTTATTTAATATTTATTATTGATTAATTAATTATTAAGACCCCTTAAGGTTTTGTTTGTACTTTTAAAAACTGAAATGCAGTTTGGGCCGCTGTTACACTATGTTAACTTTTTAGGCTATGTCTACACTTAAAATGCTACCATAGCACAGCTGCAACGGTGCCACTGTAGAGCTTCAGTGTAGACACTCACTACAGCAATGGGAGGGGTTCTCCCTTCATTGCCCTGAAAGGCGGTAGCTAAGTTGACAGAAGAATTCTTTTGTTGACCTGGTGCTGTCAATACCAGGGGTTAGGTTGGCATAGCTACATCTCTTAAGGTGTGTGGATTTTTCACACTCTTGAGAGATGTAGCTATGCTGATGAATGTTTCAAGTGTAGACCATCCCCTGAGCTTTCTAGTCTCTAAAAATGTGAATCTATAGCTAATACTTACCTGTAAGGTACATAGAACCCTATAATGACAACATTTATCTGTGGATATACAATGCAGGCCTAATATTGTGCCCTGAAGCAAACATTTCAACTCTCAAGCTGTGATTCTTCTCCCTTGAAGCCTTATGCCAGAGGCTAAATGACCAAGGATCAGAAAAACAGAAATACTGCATTCAAGAGTTTCTGCTGTTAGCTCTGTAAAGATGAATATTGTTCCTTTGTTGGAAACAAAAAAGTCTGAAGTTAATTAAAAGTACTTGCTAATAATTAATGCATTATTTGTGAGACTATAAAATATTAGCCGTGCCGTTAATTAAAACAGTATTAAAACATAACTATATTACTTTCCCTTTTTCCTGTGAATGAAAAATATGCTGCCTGTCATTTTTTTTATAACCTAGTCCCTTGTGTAACATAGAGGTACTGTGCTCAACCATTCAGGTGGAGTTCATGCTTCTGCACGTGTAGTCTCTTGGGGTGACCAAGGTGTAACACAAATGAGCTTTGTTGAGAGATCTCTCCACTGTTTTGCCAGAAAGGCTGTGGATGTAATATTAAATAAATGTTGGGTGTGTGCAGTGGGAGAGGGCTTTGGAAGGAGATGGTTGGAAAGTGTGTCCATGGCTAAAGGAGAGTAAAATGTTGCACAAAACTATCTGGATTTTCAGACATGCTGTAAGATTAATATGCAGGAAGTGTTGTTTGGAAAAAAATCCCATGAATTTCAGTACCAGGCTGCTTGCATGCATCATCACATAGTTGAGTGATGTTGCGATACATTAGGACTTGATGTTGCCTCGTGTTGCAGTGATATCATTCTGTGTGGCCAATATCATTACTTGTCCTGGAAGGAAATTCAGAAAAAGTGACAACCAATTAGTGTGAAGCAGCATTCTCCTCAAGGAATGTGGTGTCTTCTTTATCTGTTTCTCCCCTCCCCCACCCCATCCCCAATTGAATACCTCGAGGGCCCATGTTGCTCTTTCAGCTCTGACAAGAAACATCTAGCTTTGCTCTCTCCACCACCATCCCTGCTTCTCAGTTGGGATGGGGACACCCACAAAAATCACTGCATTGCTCCAACTCATAATTAAGGGTTCTGTGGCAAGTCAGGATAGTTCCTTACTCCTTGGCTACATCCTCCTTCCCCTTAAAGCAGTGGTCCCCAACCTTTTTGTAGCCAGTAGCACATTCATGTTTTCAGAAGAGTGTGGCGGGCGCCAACAATTTTTCAAGGCTTATTTTGTATTTGTACATTAAATAATATGAAAAACATCATATTTAATATTACATAATATATGAATCCAGAGAGGAGAGAGAAGCCATGAGGACAGAGAACACCGGCGCCCGCAGCCCCAGAGAACTCTGTCCCCAGCAGGCGCGGGGCTGCGGCTTCTCTCCGGCTGGGCACTAGGTGGGCGCACATAAATGGCCCGGTGGGCGCCATGGCACCCGCGGGCACTGCATTGGGGACCACTGCCTTAAAGCAAAAACATAATGAAAAAACTCTCCACTCTTTTTGCAGCCTAATTTGCAGGGCACATGTTCACCGGATTGTGTCAATGCTAACTTCCTTTTGCCTGAGTATTATAGGGAAGTTGAACAATCCTATCCATTCAAAATGTAAAGGTGCTGTACTGTTACACATGCAAAACTGCAGCTTTTCCCTCCGTTATGCAGTGCCCTGTGCTCAATTGTGGGTGTGTCATTTGCATGATCACAATGCTTAAATACATGTAGTTATCATAAGTAGAAGTAGTCATGTGTTTAAAGTTATGCATATGCTTAAGTACCTTGCTGAATTGGAGCCTTGGGACAAAGCGTGTACTTCAGATTGTCTAGGGAATGTCTACACTGCAATAAAAGACATGTGGCAGCGAGTCTCAAAGCCTGAGCCAACTGACTCAGTTGACCTGGGCTCTGAGACTCACTGCTGCAGGGATTTTTTTGCTGTTCAGTTGTACTCTGCTATAAAGAGGTCACTTTGCATTTGCTTATGACTGTCTGTCTGGTTTTTTGGTTTTCAAACTTTTGCCCAAAATTTGGTCTGGCTTTCTGTCTTCCAGGAAGTTAACTTTTTTCCTGAAAGTTTTGTTTAAAATATTTGATTTGTTTGCAACATATGTGTGTGTATACTATGAAATTATGTAAGACATACTTGTAACATTGTATCTTTATGTGCAGACTGCAGGGAGATCTTGCTGCCAATGATGACAGATCAGTTGAAGTATCATTTGGAAAGGCAGGAAGACTTGGAGGCTTGCTGCCAACTGCTTAGTAACATCCTGGAAGTCCTTTACAGGAAAGATGTGGTTAGTAACTGATGTTCATACCAATTAGCCCTTAAGAATACTATGTCTTGCGAGTGATAGGAGTGATCATGAAGTAAAGCTGGCAATGACTTAGTTTTTGTCATTTATTTTTGTTCTGAGTTTTTGCTTTTTCTTTCTTCTCCTCCTCTATTGTGGTGGTCGGAGGTGAGGTGGTGTTGTCTGATGTTTCCTCTTTCACCATGTTGCTCTCTGGCCCCAAGGTTTCTCACTTATGACAACCTTTATTCTGGCCCAGAGGAAATGAAATATGGCTCCCTCTGGAGCTCATCCCATAACACCGCTCCAGATATTGGTCAGATACTCACAGGAGTTGAGCATCCTTCCTCCACAGCCCTTGCACCTCCTTCCACATTGGGGAGTGTTTGATGAGTTTGGAACATGAACTCTTCAACCTCTTCATTGCATTGATGCTGGTTTGTTGGGCCAGCTTTTGGTCCTTTGGTAGTTGTTCATCAACTAAAGAGGATAAAAACTGAGTGTGCTGTTTGAAATTTGTAGCAGAAAATTTCACTACAGGAAAAAAAAGTCTCTTACAAGTCACTGTAAAAGAGTAGCTTTAAATGACTTTCTTAGCAACAGGACTTGTTCAAGTTATAGGAAAATCCAAAATGCTGGTTTGATGGTGTGAATGAACAATTTGTCAGGAATTTAAAATGTACAGAAATATCCCCGTGTGATCTATGACATTTAAAAACAATCTGCGGGAAGTAGGCTACTCTTCAGACAGCTCAGTAAAATAAAACAGCCCCCCTCTAGCCAGTTCTCCCAAGATATAACCAAATAACTTGACAATGCCTCCTTCTGCCTGAGTATTATAGGGAAGTTGAACAGTCCTATCCATTCAGAATGTAAAGATGCTGTACAATTACGCATGCAAAACTGCACAACTTTTTTCTGTTATGCAGTTGTGGGTGTGTCATTTGCATGATTACAATTTTTTATTGACTAGACAGTAACTATACAAATCTCTCTCTTTTGTTGGGGAGCTATAATCCGTTCCAGTTATTTGCTAGCGATTTTTGGACCAGAGGGTTGCTGCCTGAGTCTGGATTCCTATACATGAGCTGCATAGCTACCTACACTTTGGCCAGGGCAAGTTCCAACTTTTTAAAAACTGTCCTTGGTAACTGCATTCTTCTATGATCCCAGATTCTGTGGCATCAGGAAGTAGATTACATTAAAAAGACGAGTTTCTGTCCTGACAGCGCAGCAGCCCCTCCCCATTTTTTGCTATCTGCATCTCTCTCAGCAAGCTGTACTTACTGGCTTTCAGCTCCACCACCTGCTGAGCTGAACACAGTTGAGAAGGTCTTTAGGGGGCAGAATTAGGAGCTGGCTTCTGTTACTGAGAGAGCCAACCAACAATTGGGTGAGAGGGCTGCTGAGCTGCCGGATGATTGATGTCTGTATGCAGGCAGAAAAGGGAGACGGAGGAGCTGTGGGGAAAAGAAGGTGAGAAGGGACACAGAGTAGGAAAGTCCCAGCTTGTCACCATCAGGAAGCTTTGGTGCTGCAGAACAATAGCTGCACATATCTGTACTGGAGATGAGGGATACTTTTTCACCTAAGCCAGCGGGAGACTCTGGAAGTTAAATGCAACTGGTGATCCTTGGGTTATTTTTCTCACTCATTTAAAAAAAAAAAAGGCATTTCACAAGAAAGTTTGCACAGCTGTCCAGCAACAGCCTACAGCATATCCTATTCAGAGAATTGTCTGGCAAAACATTTCAAATGTTGACAACCATAGAGTAGTCCCTAAAGACAGTTGCATTAGGGCAAGGGAAGGCAAGTAACTTTTAAGGAGCATGTTTACATTGTGGGAGTAGGGGAAGCAAGTTCCCTATATTAGTGTGATACTTCCCTACCCCCAATCTTTGTGGGGCTTCCTCCCCTTACAAGGTTGGGACATACATCCCTAATGTGTTCACAAAGGGCATTCATAGTCAACACCAACACCACACTTTTAATGCTTTAAAAAAAAATCCTAGCAGATCACCTCTAAAACCAGAATATATATGAAACAATTGAGAATCACTTTGAAAGGCCTTAGTTAAGTTGTTTAATTTATCTGATACACTGTTAAGTATGCCATGTTTACTTTGATCAGAGACCTTTGATTTTAAATGGTGAAAAAATGTCTTTGGAAAACTAAATTGTGAACTAACCAAATGCCATAAACATTGTGTTTTCCCCCCAAGGATTTGCTTTTTATTTAAATTACTCTAATTAGGTAATTGACTTTCAGTAGCAGCCAGTAATAAAAAATCTATTTTCTTTGTGCAGTCTTTGCTTTTAACAAAGACTGTTTTTCATCTTGTTGAGCAGTAGTTGTGAGGAGTTATAATTGATTTGGTTTCAACAGGATAGATGGATTTTAATAATGAGCATCAATATTTGAGTTGTATTGATTGTCTTTTGGTGATAGTTTCCACTAGATTATCCTTTCTCTTCAGGGACCAACACAGCGACATGTCCAGATAATCATGGAGAAGCTATTGAGGACAGTAAATAGAACCGTCATTTCCATGGGACGCGATTCAGAGCTCATTGTAAGTGTCTCTTGACATAAACTTAAAAGTATTTTTATCACAACTTCTTGCACCTTGCATAATATATGATTTAAATCCCCGGTGATAAAAAGCAATCAAAACCTATTGTAACTCTCTTGTGTGTTCAAGTAAACTGTAGAGTTTTAGATTATATTTTTTGTGTGGCTTATATTAGGAGGAGAAAGGTCCTATTTAAATTGTCAGTGATCAAATGATGAATTTAATTGGGTATGTTTAACCAAAACTAATTTTATTTTTTGCAATTACAAGATTTTAACCAGCTAAAAATGTTGTGTAAATGAAACAAACTTTTGTTGCTGACATTTAAATCGGACTGGAGGCTTAATTCTGCCAACGGTTACTCGTATTATTGGTGGTTCAATTGGGGTAATGACTCACATAGGCATACTGAAACAAAGACTTGGATGTGTGCCCATGGAAGTCCTGAGAAATAATATGGTTATTCCAAGATTATCCATTTAAGTATGCACTGACATAACTTAATATTACAAGAGCTTAACTTTTGTTGAGTTTTGCTCGATATCATATTTAACAAAGTTTGTTACCTTTTAAAATATTTTGTTTGTTGGACCACTTAAATATTCTGCATCAGATGTTTGGCTCCAGTGGAGCTACACTGGTTTGTATCAGCTGAAGATATGGGCCTTTATTAACTTCTTTTAAAAAAATCTGTACATGTTTGTCACTATTTGCAGCATATATGCACACAGTGTACTTAATTGGTGTAAAAGCTTGCATTCATTTAAAGTTCTGTACCATTCTGGAACAATTACTTTGGTGGAAACCTAGAAGGAGAGATCATGAAATGTTTCCTACCAATCTGCACACTTTAATGGCTTTGATTCTCTTCTTAAAACTTCTTTCCTTACCTCTTCCTTCTCTGTACTGTATTATATCATTTAAAAAAAATCAAAATTGAGAATGTTCTGAATTAACTCTCTCCTCTCTTCCTCTAATTCCATATTATTCCTTTACCCCAGTCTCTCACTGTGATATCTCCCTTCATCCTTCTAGGTCCTCAGTCTGTCCCCTCGACACCATCCTCTCTCACCCTCTGTCCTCCACTCTTCATTGTATGTAATGGTGTTTGTATCCCTAAGAATGATAAAAACCTTCTCTTACTCCTAATTGTCTCTCCAGCTATCATCTTGGCACTTGCTTTCCCACTTCCAACAACATGCTGTCTGTTAATGACTTTGTATCCCCCCGCCCCCCCAAATGACAAGGATTAACCCTTGAGTAAGTAAAGTAGTTATAATTCATATAGAAGACAAACTTAATATTGAGAAAGCAGACAAAAGTCATTAGGATTGGATTGTGTGTGTGTGTTTGTATATAATAAAATATATAGACAGTAGAATGCAGACAAAATGTTGTTGTTGTTTCTGTAGGTTAAATTGTAGAAATATAGCTGATGTATTTATCAAAATTCCTCAATTTTATTTCCCCTCTGCTAAACTGTGATGATGTCTGTATATTTGAAGTGATACAAAAACAGAACAGGATATATTCTGAAGCATTATGTTGTTAGAGCCATAGTTAGTTTTTCCCCTTTTTAGCTGTAGCAAAATGTATTTGCAAGTTTAAGTCTTGCATATATATATTTTTAACTAAGCGCAATTGTATTAAAAATGCACACTGTGAACATGAACATAGCCTGAAAGCATTACATCTGAACACACTATAATTATTTAATGAATGCTGACAGCATCAGGAATTTTTAAGAGGGCACTTACTATTTAAAATTCAGTGCATTTCTAAAAGCATCTCTCGGTAATCAACCAATAATGATTCACTTTTGTGGTGTCAATAAAGTAGTAAGATGGAAATGCAACCAATACTTAGTATGCATAACCTTACACTTCTTGGATCAGCATCAGATTGAGATTTATGCATTAAATTTTTTTGACTTGAAAGTTGCACCTAGAATTTAGATTAGAGAATAGATCATAGCAGAACAAATAGAAGAAAAAAGAGTTTCTAGACAAAGAACCATAAAGGAGGATAGTTTAGGTGATGGCATTTTTTTAAAGTAATGTATCACAAATCATATATAATTCATTTCTTACATAAAATAACTATACAGGTGTTGCAGTAGTTGAATCTAAATCATTTTTTCACCTTGAAAAAATGACTATATATTTCACCTCTTATTTAAAATTTATTGCACTGGTAATAATCTGGAATTTGATATTATGTATTTGCAAAGATGTTGGAAGATTTTTGATGATGCTTGCTTCTTTAAAAGAAGGCAATATATTCATTACGATACAAATTTATATCTTGATTCTGCAAATATTCACTCCTGAGTGGTTCTGCTTGAGTAGTCCCAATGAATACAATGGAGCTACATGTCTGAACAAGGATTTGCAGGGTTGGGCCCAATACGACAAAAGTGAATCAAATAACACTGGTTTCATTTTGCATTCTTTTCATAACTTGGTTTTAAGATCAGTGGGATTTTTATTTGGTATTCTTAGATGCACTGTAATGGGTGCTTTTTATGTATAAATATCCAACACGGTGTTCTTTTGTTGGTGCTTTTAATTTGCATAGATAACACTCTTTACGCACATTTCCAAGTTCTGAACTGTGCACAAGTATGCAGTATGCCCCAAAGTGTGTGCGCGTGTCTATGTCTGTACCTGAGAGCCTAGCATTTTGGATGTCAAAAGGGGATTTTAACAGAATTCAACTATTCAGGGTAGAATGGAGTTGCCTTGAAACAGAGGGAGTAAAGGTATGTTGATGATGGTTATTTTTTAAATACAGTGTGTTTTCTGATCACAAGACAAAGAGCATCAGTAGGACATGAAATTCGTAGATAAGCACTAATATAACATGCAAAATATTCGCTGTTGCAAGAGGATATATAATTCAAGACTCTAGTTATGAAACTATAAATAATTTAATACTAAGCCTCACTTTCAGCTTTTTTTGAGAATTTGTGACTATTCAAAAAGATTTATTTTCTCTGTCTTATAACTTATGGATATGATTTAAAATCTTGATTACTGTTGTAACAGTTGTTAAATTGATTCAACAAAAGTATTGACAATAGATGGTTCTGTTGTACATAATGGGCCCAGATAGCTATGTCTAACATGGGATACACAGTCACGTACTATATGTCACAAACTTACATTCCACAAGTGAGCACAGTAACAAATTTTAGAGATCAGAACATTTTAATTTTTTCTTCTTTGTTACATTTAACATTTGCAGAGATTCTGGAAACCTCATGACCCCCAAAAAACTCCCTTAAATGATTGTGGTTTTTTTTTACCATTTTTATCCTAAATGTGTTTTTGCTATAAAAGCTAAATCTGTTTTGATCATTTAGTTTTCCCTCTAGATTTTTTTTTTCAGTCTTCACCAGGGTTTGAAAACCTTCAGACACCTTCTAGTCAGAGAATGAAGCTCACTAGCTAGTTGGTAAAACTAATACCAATTTGTATCAGTTTATCAGGGGGAGGGATAGCTCAGTGGTTTGAGCATTGGCCTGCTAAACCCAGGGTTGTGAGTTCAATCCTTGAGGGGACCACTTAGGGATCTGGGGCAAAAATCAGTACTTGGTCCTGCTAGTGAAGGCAGGGGGCTGGACTCAATGACCTTTCAAGGTCCCTTCCAATTCTACGAGATAGGGTATCTCCATTTATTTATTATTATCTCCTTGATGCTCAGGTGAAGAGAGTCATAAGTAGTTACTGGAATATGATATGGACCATGATTTTTGCAAGATAACCATGGCCCTTTTTGTTATCATGAGTGACTCTGTACACTTACACCCAGTTTCCAGTGTCTGTCTTCTTCAAGTCTGTATTCTTCCTTTGTCCTCTCACTTTCTTTTTTGGTTTGTTCTGCTATCTATAGTCACTCTGTCCACACTAGATTATTTATTTATTTCATTTTATTATGGAAGACCCAATAAAGGCTTAATGTATACAGCTGCAGCAAGATTTTGCTTTGACAGAAACAGGACCTTTAAGCTTCTGAAAAACGGGTTGCTTTAAAACAATGATAAATGGAAAGAACGGTGAGTGTCCTGTAAACACATTTTAGAATTTCCGATGCTCTCTTCTAGGCACTTTTGATAAGTATTATAAGTCCAAAAATCACGAAGACCCACACTTTACTCAAAAACACCAACTCAATATGTTTCCCCCCCACAAACACAGCAATGAAAATAAATAGATGGACTTTTCAGTATTTGCTATTTTGGATCTTTGCTTATAAAATTTGAGGACTTTTAACTCTATGAATCATGGGGTACAGTGAGTGCCAAAGTCTTGGGCAGAAGGTTTGAAATGTTATTTTCTTCATTGGCTACTGCAAAGTAAAAAATAGTATTGTGGCACCATGTAATTTTTTTTTCTCACACACATTTCAAATTACTCATTACAAGCCATTATTGCAAAAATTAAGACTTTGTTCCCTCACTATTATCTAGCTTTTTGTGCATTGAAGTATGAATTGAATATCATCATGAATGGAGCAAATGGACATGGAATATACATATAATATACCAAGTTTTACTTCGATACTGCATTCAGTTAAATAAATTGGCAGCATATTTCCAGCAGCTACAGTTGTACTTTCCTGATACTGAAATAATGCTAAGAAATGTTTCAGGCCTTCTGCTTCATCCTAGTATATCAGAGCTGTAAACGTACAGCCATTATATTATTGGTGGCAATCACAGCCACGAAATTGAAAGAGTAGTACATACTGTGTACTATTACATTAGATTAATGCAATTTTAACAGCATGATTTCAAAATGCTTATGAAAAAATAATCTATTAGGTTTTTAAAATGTAATGTAGCATTAAAACATTGAAGAAAGTAAAGAATGCATAGTCAGTTATTCTGTTTGTTCATTGCATAGCATCTTATCTGAAGCAAGAAAAACCAAACACTTTGTACTTATTGTGGGTTTTTTTTCAGTTTTAATCATGATTTTTTTTCATTTTACCCTGAT